TCTAGTCTATCTGCTAGGGAAAAATTCTCCTCAAAATATATTCATTCTATTTGGTTGTACCCACCCACTACCAATGTAACCTTATTTTTAACATATGATCCTGTGTCATTTAATTTGTGTTTGAAAGCCCATTTCATTCCAACAACATTTTGATCAACAAGTATAATCCTAATTCCCACACATCATTTCTAACAAATTTATTTAATTCTTCATGCTTTACAATAATCCAATATTTTCTTCTAAGGCTTGTTCTACACAAGTAGGTTTTATCATAGAGATTCTAAGGCTTATTGTACACAAGTAGATTTTATCATAGAGATGAAAGTTGAATGGTTAACTTCCTTTCTAAGACCATATCTACTCCTACACTCTATGTATGGGTCTCTTAAGAAAAGTTATATAGGGTGACTAAATATGTGTCACGACCCAACCTGACCGGAACGAATCCCATCGCGTTGAGTTGCGACAGATGAATCCAGGATCTAGCTTTGGAATTTATTTTCAAATTTTCTTCCAATAATCAAACATATAGAAAAATTACATAGCTATTAAAAACATCCAAATATATAGAAAAGCTCATCCAATATTTTCTTCTTTCTTTCATCAAAATAATCATGTACATTATAGTGCATAGCTATAACAGAAAGTACAAAATAGAAAAGCAGAATATCCATGACCGTACAAAAATCAAAAGTACAAAAATACCTAATCTCAGATCAAATATTTAATAGCTAGTCCAAAACCTCATTCCCTTTCCCAGAACCTAAAAACCATGAAGATAACTATAGTGAGCTAACAGCTCAACAAGAATACATTAGCTGATCAAAATCTCTAGAAACTCTCATATCAAAATACCCACAAAAAAACTTTAATAATAGTTAATTCAAATAGTCATACAAAATTCAGACAATCGTACAGAAATCATATAATCAAACAGAATGCATATATTCATACAGAACAGATAAACAAACAGACTTCAGATATTCCTACAGAACAAATCAGATGGAAATTAAATAACATATATAGATGAACTGAATCAAATTTGTATCACAGAATCATATAAATCACAAATCACATTTTTTTTCAAATCACTTATCAGATCACATATCCCTGACCCAGACAGAATCTCAAAGGATTCTGGCCCCTTATGCCTCCCTTCCCTGACACACACAAAATCTCAAAGGATTCTGGCCACTTATGCCACCTTTTTTTTGCTTACAACACCAGAATATATAAGATATAAAATGTTATCAGATCAGAATTCATTTTCATATTCCCAGACTCAGACAGAATCTCAAAGGATTCTGGCCCTTTGTAACTCCCTTCTGATATCATTCAAATCATAACAAACATCAAATCGTCATATAAAAACAAATATGGAGTAATTGAGCACATATCAAAAATTTACATTTTTGTATAGCGACTGACGATAGAAAGCCAATAAATAAAAAATGCACAATTCCAGAAAATCACCAAATTACCAGAGATCATGTAAAACGTCAATTCAAAGCTTTTATTGTACTGAAGCAATATTTTTCAACGTCTAGATAATTTTCTATTCAACAAAAACTCCGTAGAATTCAAAATACCTGGTGAAAAACTTCCAGAAAATACTCAAAACGTGTAAAATTACAATCTCTACAATATACCAAAAGTTACGCGGTAAAACTTATACCCATTTTTTGTTAACGGAAACAAAATTTTAAACATAAAATCTGTCAAAAATCATATTTCTGAAAATTGAGAAAGGCATAATGTGCCTTACCTCGAGTCGATCAACTTTCCCAACTACGACAACGGACGAAAATGAACCGAAGATGCTCAAAATGTAGATTTCTTCCTCTTTTCCTCCTTTTTCTCTCTCCTACTTTTCTCTCTCTTCAAAAATATCTTAAATCATCTATTTAATGAACTCGGTCATCCAGACGATGCTCTTCGTTCGTCTCGGGACGATCTCCTCTGGACACAGATTGTACCGACGATATCTGACTTTCGTCCATGGACGATGTTCTCGGGTAAAAATTTTTGTTCTATTTGTCCAGATGAACCTACACTTTACTTAGTTCGTCCAGACAGTTCGTACAGACTAACCATACAGATTTTCAACATTTTCTTCAGTTCGGACAGACGGTTTGTCCGTACTAACAGCACAAAAAAATTTCTTTTTTTCCAAAAACATAAGTTGAAAGTTTATGGGTTTCACAATCTACCCAACTTAAGAAAAATGTTGTCCTTGAAATTCCCAAAGAAAAACTAAGTCAGAGCAGGCTTGGATACAACTGTCTCATATCCGATTCCTTTTCCCAAGTAGCCTCTCTTGTCGTTCTATGCTTCCACTGAACCTTAACCATAGGAATATGTTTACTTCTAAGCTTCTTTACATCAAATGCCAAAATCTTTTCAGGTTCATCTCTGTATTGTAGATTCTCCTAAACCTTAATATCATCAGTAGAAAGTTTCTTTCCAGAATCAGATATCCATTTTCTCAAAGAGGATACATGAAACACATTGTGTATATCAGACATCTGATCAGGCAATAACAACCTGTAAGCAGAATTATCAACCCTTTCAATGATCTCAAAAGGTCCGACATACCTTGGGTTGAGTTTGCTCACTCTTCCAAATATACTAACACCTTTCATAGGACTGATTTTGACATACACAAAGTCTCCAATCTGAAATTCAACCAGTCTGTGTTTCTGATTATAATACTTTTGCTGTCTATTTTGTGCAGATTTCAACCTTTCTTTAATTAGATTGATCTTCATTACAGTATCATCTACAAAAGCTGAACCCATCACTTGTCTATCTCTCAATTCTATCAAAGTCAAAGGAGTTCTACACTTTCTGCCATACAGAGCTTCGTACGGTACCATACCAATACTTGATTGATAACTGTTATTATATAAAAATTCTATCAGTGGGATATGATCTTCCTAACTGCCTCCAAAATCCATAACACATAATCTCAAAAGATCTTCTAGTAACTAAATAGTCCTCTCAAACTGTCCATCAGTCTGTGGATAAAAAGCCGTACTGAAATGCAACTTCATACACAAACCTTGTTAAATAACTCTCCAAAGACTGGAAGTAAATCGGCCATCCCGATCAGATACAATCACTTTCGGCATGTCGTGTAATCTAATAATTTCTTTAACATAAATCTGAGCTAACTTATTCACCGGATTCGTCTGTTTGATCGGAAGAAAATGAGCAGACTTTGTCAATCAATCAACAATCACCCAAATCGCATCATATCCTTGCCTTGATCTAGGGAATCCCATAGCAAAATCCATTGTTATCACTTCCCACTTCCACTCAGGGATAGGTAATAACTGGAGAAGACCTCCCGATAGCTGATGTTCTACCTTCACTAACTGGCAGGCATTGTATTTCAAAACAAATTTAGCTATATCCTTTTTCATTCCAAGCCACCAAATTAAGCTTTTCATATCTCCGTACATCTTACCACTTCCTGGATGAATAGTATAGCCTGAATAATGAAATTTGTGTAGAATCTCTTTCCTCATATCTACAGGAATCCACAGCCTATTCTTATAAAAAATAATACCATAATGAAAAATTCATAATTCAGGTTTCTTACCAGATTTGATCTGATCAATTAACTTCAAATATTCTGTATCTGACTTCTGGCTTCATGAATCTTTTCTTCCAAAGAGGGCTGAAAATCATCTTAGTTATTATTCCAGAATCAGTAGGAGATAATGCCTCCAATTGTAATCTTTTCATATCTTGTATCAGATACTCATCAGAAATGAGCTATAAACATGATAATCTAGAAGAGTTCCTGCTCAGAGCAACTGCCACCACATTAATCTTACCAGGCATATACTGAATAGTCAAATCATAATCCTTGATCAACTCAAGTCATCTTCTTTGCCTCAAATTTAGATCCTTTTGAGTGAATATATACTTCAGACTCTTATGATCCATGAAGATCTCACACCTAACACCATACAAGTAATGACGCCAAATCTTCAAAGCAAATATAACAGCAGCCAATTCTAAATCATACGTCGGGTAGTTCTTTTCATGTGATTTCAACTGTCTTGAAGCATAAGCTATTATCCGACCATACTGTAATAGAACACAACTCAAACCTTTCAAAGAAGCATCACTGAATACTTGAAATCCTTCCGTACCAAAGAGAAGTGCTAACACTGGAGCATAAGTCAAATAATCCTTCAATTTTTTAAAACTAGCTTCACACTCTAGTGTCCAAATAAAAGCTACTAACTTCTGAGTCAGTCTCGTCAAAGGTGCAGATATATGAGAAATTCCCTTCACAATTTTTTTATAATAACCAGCCATTCCCAAGAAATTATGTATCTTAAACACTGTAGTAGGCCTTGGCCAATTAACAACTACTTGAATTTTCTGGGGATCGACAGAAATACCTTCACATTACTACATGTCCTAGAAAAGAAATGTTTTTCAACTTGAGTTCACACTTGGAGAATTTTGCATACAACTGGTGTCATCTCAGAGCCTCCAACATAATTCTCAAATGTCTGGCATGCTCTTTTTTAGAAGCAGAATATACCAAAATATCATCTATGAAGACGATCACAAATGAATCAAGATAATCTTTGAATACTCTATTCATTAGGTCTATAAAAATAGCTAGTGCGTTGGTTACCCCAAATGGCATAACCAAAAACTCGTAGTGCCCGTACCGAGCATTGAAAGCTATTTTCATCACATCTGCTTCTCTTACCTTCACCTGATAGTAACCAGATCTTAAATCAATCTTTGAGAATATAGAAGATCCAGTAAGCTGATCAAACATATCATCAATCCTTGGTAATGGATACTTATTCTTGATTGTGACTTTATTCAATTCTCTGTAATCAACACACATACGCATTGTATTGTCCCTCTTCCTCATAAATAAAATATGTGCACCCTAGGGTGAGACACTCGGATGAACAAATCCTCTATCCACCAACTCCTGAAACAAGACTTTCAACTCCGTAAGTTCTTTTGGTGTCATCCTGTACAGAGCTTTAGATATTAGAGCTGTACCCGAAAATACATCAATACAAAACTCAACATCTCTGTCCAGAGGTAAACCAACTAACTCCTCAGGAAAACATCTAAAAAATCTTGTACGACTGGGATATCAAAAATAGAACCCATATCTATATTCATATCCCAAATTGATGCCAAAAACACCATACAACCTTTCTTCCACAGTCTTCTTACTTCCAACATAGAAATCAAATAGGATAAAACACCTCTTAATCCTTGAAATACCCATCTTTCACCATCTATAAACAATATAACTTGCTTTTTCAGATAATCAATCTGAGTCTCATACAAACTCAGCCAATTCATACCCAAAATAACATCATATGAAGAAATCAGCAGCAAAATCAAACAGGACTTCCACTTCTTTCCAGAAATTTCAATCTCACATAAACAAAACTTTCGGGCTATTAAATTATTTTCAGCCGGCAAAATAATAGAAAGCGAAACAGGTAACGTAACGAAAGCCAGTTGCAAAGCATCAAAATAGTGCTAAAAAATAAATGAATAACAAGCTCCAGAATCAAACAAAACATGACAGGGATGTTCAGAAATATAAATCATGCCTGTCACCACATCCGGAGCATCTCAAGCCTCTTGCTAATTCAAAATGTAAACACGTGGCTGAGCTAGAGCTGGAGCTATATAACTATTAGGCTTCCTTTTAAAAGTTTGTTAGGGATGTTAGGCCCTATAAACTAGTCCTGAGGCTAACCAAGAGGGGGGTGAATTGGTATTTTTAAAAATTCGTTAAAACCAAGAACAAATATCACAAATCATAATCACCACGGAAAAATAAGTGTATAAAATTAAAGTGCGGAAGCAGTAAAAAGAACACAAAGGTTTATAGTGGTTCGATCAACTTGACCTACGTACACTCTCCATAGGCTCCCTCTGAGTATTGCACTACCAACGTGACTCTCCTTTAACCTCCACAGCTAGGCGGAGAAGCCCTTACAAAACACCTCCTTTTTGCCACACCCGGCAAGGCAGAGAACCCAACTTCATTTGCTTCCTACTGAAGCAAGCAGAGAACCTCAATCTATTGCTGAAGCTTACCTCTCCCAATGCTTCCAAGGACAAGAGAATCTAGGGAAGAAGAAGTGGAACAATGCTTGGAGTAACCCTTATGAACTCCCTCACAAGATCTTCTCTCTCTCTCTCCCTCTCTCTCCTTTAGGTTTTCTCAGGTCAAGATAGCAGCCAAAGATCTTCAAAAATGTTGGAAATAGCTCTTAAATAAAAGAGCTTCAAATGAGCTTAATAATTGAAAGTTTCTAACTTTATCGTCCAGGCTAATAATAATATCATCCTGTACGATTAGTTCAAAACATAGACGATCGGCCAGAACATCGCAATAAAGATGATCTGGACAATTGAAAATTGGCTTGATCGTCCAAGCCGATCTCACAATCGTTCTGGACGATTAGTTCAAATCAGAGGAAAATCATCCAGAGCATCGCCCTGAATTCGAGCTGGCTGATAGTTATCATACAAGAGTAACTAAGGGTTTTAGAATAGTTCGTCCTGGCCGATCCTGCGATCGTCCAAGATGATGTGATTGTATGAATCATCCTTAATTACTTCCTTGATTCATGGATCAATTTAGACATAATTGTGTAATATCATCCAGGCCGATCTCATAATCGTCCCGGCCGATTTCCAAAAAAACAGAATACCTAAATATATTATAGAGGCTATTTCTTTCTGTATTGAGTATATCGTCCTGGACGATACAAGTATCATCTAGGCCGATAAGTTAATTACGATAAACTTAAATAATAAATTCTGATTAGAACTTCTGTTTTGAACTCGATCATCCAAGACGATGTAAATATCGTCCTGGACGATGTGAGTAAAAACATAAATTCTAAATCTCTCAAGTGTGCGTGTATAGTGTTACTTAACATCAGTCACTTCAAACATTTAAAAATCACTAAAGAAATGAAAAAAAAAGAAAATTACAGACTGACTCAACCCAAATCTACCCAGTCTTGAGCTGATTCTGATTTCTGTCCGATCTTTGAGTCCTGAAAAGTCAGTAGAGAAAAGGCAGTCATATTGTTTGCTATCATCAAAATCATAATCCATGAAACCAAATCTGCAATAATTCCCACCTTTTTGATGATGGAAAACACTCCGACGATTATTTCAAAAATAGTAGTGTAAAATAAAAATTCAAAATAAAAGTTCAAACATACAACCCTACTAACATGCAACCCTACTACTCCCCCTTTTAACATCTCAAAAAGGAGGAGGAAAGCAAGAAACAAAGTAAAAAAAAATTATTTTTTTATAACCAAGGCATGAACAAGATGAAGTATTCCATGTGATTGATTTTAAAAATTTATGAGCTAATGAATCAACATTAAAAAATCCACAAAATAGTATAATATCTGATCATGGTTACCCTTAGCTTGGACTTTCTTTTAGGGTAGAATCGTCTTGGAAATCAAGGATCTAATCTCAAAAATTCAATTGGGTATGAAAAAAAATCCATTCATCACTTGATTTCAGAAAAAAAAAAATCTTATAGAATAATGTACCACAGTAAATTTGTCACAATCGCAAAATTCTCGAAATCAAGCCTTAGATACATGAAATCTTCTAAGTTTTAAAAGATTTTAAAGGAGAAGAGAGCTTGCTATTGGGGGGATCATTTTATACCTCTTGTCAATTGATTGATTCTTTGTGCATTTTTTGCTTTTTGATTTTTTTTTTCAATTTGGCGTCATTGCGCATCTTTTGTTGGCATCATTGGCCAAAAATTTTATTTATTTTCACAAGCTCTATTCTCTTTTACAATCTCTTAAAAAATCCTTTGTTGTGAGTATATCTTCTAGATATTAGAGAATAGGAGCTCTCTCTCTAACATAGAGAAGAATTATTCACAAAACAGAATCAATAACCAATGACAAGAGTAACGATAAATTTTGATGTGATAAAAAGACTTTAATCATTATAAATACAAGATAGATTTTCTTTAGAAAGGTTAGAAAAGATATTAATTTCATACATAATCGAATTGAGATAGATTTTTTATTAGAAAAGAAAAGTGTGCCACTAAAATAGGTTAGACAAAGAGAGACAATCAACAGTATATTTTTACCATCTAATAAATTAAGAGATGTAATACATTGACTACAAACTTTCAAAAGGCAAGGACAAGGCATACGATATCATTTCATCGATGATTTTGAAAAACAAGTTCAAGAAAAAATAAAGTAAAACAAACCAAACAAAAACTAAAAATAAGGCAAAGAGAAGAAAAGAAAGCAAAGAGCAAACCAAAAAGTAAATAAAAGAAATAAATCAAAAGCAAAAGAAATTGAGTAAAAGATCAAGTTCATGCATTTATGTTAATCACACTCAATCTGGTCTTTAAAGAGCTGAAAGTGTCGAAGGCCAATGGTTTAGTAAAGATGCCAGCCATTTGATTTTCAGTTGTCACATGGTGTAAATGAATGTCTCCCTTGGTCACATGATCACTAAAAAGTGATGCCTAATGTCAATGTGCTTAGTCCTTAAATGTTGGATAGGATTTTTAGAGATGCATATGGCACTAGTGTTGTCATAAAAGATTGAGATGGTGCTTACAAATAATCCTAAATCCAATACTTATTATTTTAACCAAAGGACTTAGACCACACAACTTCCAAGAGCAATGTACTCTGCTTCAGCAGTGGAAAGTGCAACGGAGTTTCGCTTTCGACTAGACCATGAAACCAAAGATTATCCTATGAATTGACAAGTTCTTGAAGTGCTTTTTCAATCCACCTTGCATCCTGCAAAATGAGAGTCAGAAAATCCAATAATCTCAAAGTAAGTGTTGTGCCTCGGATACCAAATCCCTAAGCTTTGAGTCCCCAAAAGGTATCTTAAAACTCTCTTAACAGCAGTCAGGTGGGATTCCTTGGGGTCAGCTTGAAACCTAGAACAAAGGCAAACACTAAATATAATATCAGGATAGCTAGCAGTCAGGTAAAGTAAGGATCCACTCATGCCTCTGTACTTCTTCTGATTAACAGACTTACCACTTGGGTCTTTATCCAACGGAACACTAGAAGTCATGGGAGAATTAATTGGCTTAGCTTTATCCATCTCATACTTCTTAAAAATGTCCTTAATGTATTTTGTTTGATTTAGAAAGGTTCCATCATCCAATTTTTATGCTAAACCCCAAAAAGTAGGACAACTCTCCCTTCAAACTCATCTCAAACTCTCTACTCATTATTTTTGAGAACTCGTCAAAATATTTTTTATTAGAAGATCCAAAAAGTATATCATCCACAAAAATCTAAATAATGAGCAAATCATCTCCAACTTTCTTAAGAAAAAGGGTGGTGTCTACGCTCCCCTTAAAAAACTCCCTTTCTAGTAAAAATGTGCTAAGCCTCTCATACCAAGCTCTTGGTGCCTGCTTTAACCCATACAAAGCCTTTTTTAATTTAAGAACAAGATTTGGACATTGGGAGCTCTCAAAACCCATGGGTTGTTCTACAAACACATCCTCTTTTATTTCCACATTTAGAAAGGCACTCTTAACATCCATTTGAAAAAGCTTAAATCCTTTATAACAGGCAAAGGCTAATAGCACTCTAATGGCTTCCAATCTAGCTATAGCTGAGAAGTTGTGGCTAATCCCCTTGTCCTCACAAAAATCTCCAAATCTTTCATTCTCAAACTCTCCCCCATGGTCACTATGGATGGTCAAGATCTCACAACCTAGCTTTTTCTGAATCCAAGTAGAAAATGTTCTAAACTCCTCAAAATACTCATGTTTATGTGAAAGAAATCTAGTCCAAGTGAACCTCGAGTAGTCATCAACAATCACCAAAT